TAAAAATATTAAACTTTTTTGCACAATTCTCTATAATTTTTTTTATAAATCATTGTGGCGAAAAACGGCTAAAATTAAAATATAACTTATATGGAAATGGAGCATGAAAGCAAAAAAAAAAAAAAAACAGTAATTTAATATTTATCTTTGGAGCGGTTGCTTTATTAGTAGTCTTTATATTAATTGGCGTTATTTTCTTCTCTAGAAAGAAAGAGAATAAACCGGATCCAAGTCAGGAAAATAATTTAGGAGAACAGCAAAGACAGCAAGTTCGCGAAGCGGCTTCCCAATTAGTTGGGAATATTCTTGACAATCAAAATAATTTTAACCAATTAACGACTAATCCGGATGGTACAAGACGGAACATTGATGATGTAGAAGAAATTTTTTTATCTAGCAGCCTTAATCAGTCGCCCCAGTCCCCTTCCACACCAGCACCAACTCAAATTACTGGTTCACTTCCCCCGATAGTTGTCGAACAAAGTTGGTACGAATTAAGGGTTTTTATAATTGCTTGTTTACAAAATCCTAATCAATCTATTTTAGAAAATGTGCGATTACGGATTAAAAGTGATATTGAAAAGTGGCTAAGGTGAGAATTAGGAAAAGTAAAAGGTGACTATAACAAGTTATTAGAGGAATATTTAAAAGTAATTCAAGAACTAAAAACAGTCAAAGAATTATTTGAGAAATATAACCAAATTAGAACTAATTTAGTAATTAATAAAGTAGATAGAAGCAAGGAGTTAATTGCCAAAGGTTATTTTGATATTGATATTACACAATTAAAAGAATGAGGTTTATTAGACTACGATTTTCCTAATTTATATGATGAGAAAAGAATTGGAATTACTAATGTGCTTTCAGTAAGAGTTGACAAAGAAACAGACGAGGTGATAGAAGGCAGCGGAAACGCAAGGGAATTATTACTCTTTCTCAAACCTTCCAACAATCAATCCTCAACCTTCTACTTTCCACCTGGTAAAATAGAACCAGCCCAACAAGATTCAGTGCGGAAGTTAATTAATGGCTTGCTTCAAGAACAGCAGCAAGAATTAGGGAAAATCCAAAGTTATGATATTTACATTTTACGGGTGGCAAGCAGCCATTATGGTGCTGGACCATCCTCGGGGGTAGCTCACTATTTAGCCCTTTACAGTGCTTTAAACAAAATACCACTACCAAAAAATTTGGCTTCTACCGCTACCATTAAAGGAGCGAAAGTGGGTGGGATAGGAGGGTTGAAAAATAAAATACAAGGTTCTTTAAAAAAAGGAATAGACACTTTTATTCTTTCTGAAACTAATAAAAGGGATGAAAAATATGAAGAGCAAAGTTTTGAGCATATTCCCCCTGACATACAAAATAAAATTAAAGAAGTTCACTTTATTAGTCAAGTTAACCAAATAAAAATAGCCTTAAATGAGATATTAAATGGAACCATCAAAGATAAAGTTCATGTTTGCGGAAAAAGTGAAATTCCAGAGAAAAAACCAGAAGAGGACAAAGAACCTCGCGGACCTCCTAATAAAGAGCCACAAAAGGAACCTTCCATCACTTCCGAACAACTTTTAAGTTTAATTGCCGAATTAAGCATTAGGGAAAAAGGAGATAATCAAGATTTTTGAGAAAAATTAACCGCTTCCTATTCAAAAAATCCTAATTTTCAAGAGGTAGTTAATAGCGTTTTAAGTCTCCAAAAAGAATATCAGGAAAAAATTGCGAACCTCTCTAATCAGAGAACTCCGAATCAAGGTAAAAAGTTAAGAAAATTTACTGCTTGCTCTGATGGAAAAATATTGAAAGAGGAAGAAGTTGAAGAAGATGACAAAATGATTTGTGAAGTTTGCCGTCAACAATTTGAAGATGGTTATTCATTATTTACATGTTCGAAACCGTGGTGATGCTTTAAATGTGTTCCGGATGCAGTTAAGAAGGGGGAAGCAAAAGTAACAGAAGAAAAAATGAGAAACGAGGACCCAACTGACCCTAAACCAGAGGAAGTGGAGCAAAAGAAAAAACAGTTATACCAACAATACGAAGGTAAATTTCAAAAAATTGCTTCCTCAGTTGCCAATCTAACCCCAGAAATTTTAACCAATTTACAAAACCTTGGCTATATTATTCAAGAAATTAAATGAACTAGTGAACTAAAAGCCCC